ACTATAATATGAATCAAAAATCTCATTTTTTGTTGAAAGGTCCCCAAAACCCATTTTTAATAGCAAAGCTCCCATATGTTTGATGCAATAGTCCATAATTATCCAGAACTGCCAAAATTTACTTTAGATGAAAAAAAAGTAAGTGTTGTTGTATCACGCAAGTTTCGTTAGGCTTCATTCAACCAATGTTGACTCGAAGTTTACCATTTCGAACTGGGAAGAACGTTTCGGTGAATGAATATAACATCTTTCTTGATCGCAACGAATCGACTGGTTACAAATTTTATTGGGAAAACAAAAACGTTTACATTATTGATATGGCTACGTCAGTTAGCGCAGCCGTTATTGCTTTGCTCCAAGATTATTTTAAAGTCCCCAACGGCGGCGAATTCTTCAATCCTCCAATATATGTCTGTGGACAACCATGTAAGAGAATTCTCTCTAGTTTCTGCTTGATCTTTGAATCATGATAATAACGCTTTCGGTTTTCCTATAGTTCACTATGATCCATCCGATAACACATTCCACATTAAATGTAGCAGCTGACGTTACAATTAGCCCAAATAAGGCACATATTACAAATACAAGGCATCCCCCTTGAGACGCAGAGGTACAGTACGTCTGAGGTTATTTATATATTTTCATATTTACTTAATTTCAGTATGTCACATAACTAAATCCCCATGGACGAATACTTTGCGAGGTATCACCAGAATGCCAAAATATTAGTTTATGGAATACAAAATGCGAAAAATGGATGATGCAACAATGTGTTCGATACGTACTAGGTATAAAGCTTTATGAGAAAAGGAAAAGATCAAATGATCGGAGAATGACGGTATGTTTTGCTAACTGCTTTGTTATTCTATAGTTACTTTTCTTATCATTCTTTTAATATTAGACCAAGCTATGGTCACGTGTAGCTGTTCCACCGGCAGGACCACCGGCCACTCCAGTAGCAAGACTACCAGGAATATTCGTTCAAGAGGTGATAATTAATTCTTTATTACTACTCGTGATCAACCATCAGAAACTCAGTGCTTTTTTAACCTTTAGTGGGATTTTGGAACATTACAATACAATAATAATCAACCCACCGGTTGTAACGCTGCAGGCAATCCTGCCTTCCTAGTTACTATCTCGGTGTCAGAAGTTTTTTGGGACTCACCAGCCGACGGCGCTATTGGATACATTGCAGCTATTCCTGCCGCAGCTACAATTACCGCTACTAATTTTGTAATCGACTTATATAGAATCCAACAAAGGATTTTATATTTCGAAAAGTATATAAACTTTGCTTTAAGTATATGTCTTTTAGGAGGTTGTTCTGGTCATGAATTTTCTTAAGGTATTTTATTCTCTTTAGTATAAATCATAATACCAACAATTAACGAAATTTTATATATTGAAATTTTGAAAAGTGATCTTAATATACATTTTATATATTTGTATTTTTTAGTGGCTTTAAATGATAAAAAATTTTCACAAATTTATTTTCAGATGTATTTAATCAGTATGATATAAAAGTGCGTTTAAATAACTTTAAGCATCAGATGCAACTTTTATTTTAGGAATTTAAATAATTATACATTAAAAAAAAATTCGATATGATAATTAACAAAAATCTATCCAGGAATCACACTAATTCTTTATTAACTCTATTTGCTACGCCTCAAATGAATTGGTATCTGATTAAAAATCAGATATACAATTTTTATAATATGCTGTAATATATATATATATATATGCAGGTGCGCGAATGTTATGCTATTTTGGGCTAAAAAAAAAATCCGTCTATCTTATTTCTGGATTGTATGAAAATTTAATGCAAAAAGTTTAACTTTATTTTCTCAGGATTCGAATAATGCTCAACACATTGAAAATAAGTTATTGAAACAAAGTGTATTTAAAATTTAAATTCAATAAAGATACCAACACTAAAAATATACAGTACAGTATAAATAGATATAATTTTTTTTTTTGTAATCGAAGCTTTGATATACTTGTGAAAATAAAAAATTTTCTATAGTATAGTTTCTGTTGCCTTTAAAATTTGTGGAATTACCGACTGCCATTTTGGACATTTGTTATATCACATGATATTTATGTTCGCATATTTATCTATTTCATTTCGGCATTTGGTCATGATGATTTCCTATTTCGTCAACTTAATTTTAATCGCGTATCGTCGCACGACCGATAACTAAATGAAAATCCTATTCAAATTATTTAACCTCTTAAATGTCACAGGATCGACATAAAATGAAAATTTATTTATATTTTCCCTTATAATTTTCATTCTTTATTTCATAATTTTTTTACATATCTGTATCTGTATGTTTGTTCTACTTGCGTTAAAATATTATCAATTTATTAAATTTAATACGTATTTCATCTAAAATGTAAAATTCGAAAGAAATATCCAATTTACTATATCACTCTTTATCTGTATAACTAAATCCATGGTAAATGTTGTATTACATTGGTACTTCATGAGATTTATGGAAAACCAATAAATAATCTAATCTTTTCACAAAAGATAATCGATTTCTCGATATGAAATTCTTGCTCCCTTTTTATATCATAAACATTTATCGAGAAGACATATTTCATTATGTATCGACCGATTACCAATTGTATTTATGAACATAATGAGAAAAGCGTTATTTGTAAATTAATTGAACAAAACAAGAAAATCACTACTAATGAATTATTGTGTTGCAATAAAAAGGAAAATAGTTGTTCTGCCTATTCATCTGGTTGCTTTGAACCAGAAGAAGTAGTTCAATGCCATAATCTTACAGCCCTTGACGCTTGTCGACGCAATGACACACTTGCACTCCAAGTTTGTGGTGGTTTGCGAGATAGCCTTTTCTGTTTAACGGCGGGTGCAGCGGTAGAAGATCCACAATATACCAGACTTCATTTCCCTGAAGCAATAGAATTGATGGTAAGTCGGAATAAGCTCGAAGAATCTAAGGAGGCGACTTTTTGTAATAATCAAGATCGCAACTATCAATTATGTAATTCTACCGCGAATCCTACGACAAATTTTACATGCGGTGACTTATTTCAAGGGGGATGTAATCAATGCACTTGGAAGAGCAGCACAGGTACCATCATTAATAGGTACATAAAAACAGAATTATGTGAACCTATTGCGGTAGATCAAATGCCTACAATAATTGGATTAGTCACTATTGTTGGAGTTCTAGTATTAATTCTGATTTTGTTTGTTGCTGCGAGGGTTTACAAAAAGCTTAAAATTAAGAATGGGGTTAGTATTACATATCTCATCGTTTTTGTGATATCCAATTCGAAATATAACTAACGAAGCTCTTTTAATTTATATTATAGAAAATGCCAGGGTAATAAAAAAAAACCTCTATAATTCTTTACATGAATATGTCATTCAATTTCTTTGATGTCACTTCCTAATTAAAATGAAGCAAAATTTGCAACTTTAATTAGAGTAGCCTTAGAATATAATTTTAGTAATATTATATAAATTTTATTTAATAAATATAATTATAATAACCCTTTTTAAATTATTTTCCAGACTTAATACATAATTTTAGTAATTTTTATAGTAATGAGCGGAGGAAAGATTATAAAAATATTTGAAATTTTTAAAAAATGGTTGATTGCAAATATAGTTTACAAAATATAAAATCTATAATCGATTCATATCATAATATGCAAATTTAGCGGTAATTTTCAATTATATTGATATTAGTTTTATATTAAATGGAATTGTTTAGTCTAGGAAAATAATCACGTTCTATTCATTATTACACTGGCATATTTGATTCAAACTTTGTAAAATTAAATACAAATAAAAAAATTTGTTTTCCGCAAATAAAACTTTTATTCGCAGGTAATGCTGCGGAATGATAGGATTTCCTTATCATACAGTCATATTTAGAAAGATCGGTAGATTAGATGAGATGTTTGTTTCTATATCATGTGGTTGTACGGTTCATATAAATTAGGATTTATGAAAATCAATCAATCACTAAACACTCTTTTTGTGTTATCTTTCTCAAGGGAAAAAAATAATTCATTATGTATCGATCAGTTACTAATTGTTCTATGGAACGTTATCATAACGAAAAAAGCTTAATTTGTAAAATTATCTTAGAAAACAAGGAACAGATCCCTTCTGATAAATTGTTGTGTTGCAATAAAAAGAAAAATAGTTGTTCTACATATTCATCTGGTGGTTGCTTTATACCAAATGAAATAGTTCAATGCCATAATCTTACAACACTTGATGCGTGCAAACGCAATGATACGGTTGCTCTTAAAGTTTGTGGTGGTTTGCAAGATGGTCTTTACTGTTTAACGACGGGTGGAGCGGTAGAAAATCCACAATATACCAAACTTCATTTTCCTGAAGCAATAGAATGGATGGTGAGTCGAAATAAGCTCAAAGAATCTAATGAGGTGTCTGTTTGTTATGATCAAGTTAAAGGCCATCAATTATGTAATTCTATTGGAAATCCTACTGCAAATTTTACATGCAGTGATTTATTTCAAGAAGGGTGTAATCAATGTACTTGGAAAAGCAGTATGGGTAACAATGTTATTAGGTATATAAAAGCAGAATTATGTGAACCTACGGTAAATCAAATGCCTACAATAATTGGATTAGGCACAAGTGTTGGAGTTCTAGCATTAATTCTGATTTCGATTTTTGTTTTTGCTGCGGTGTTTTACAAGAGGCTTAGAACTGATGGGGTTAGTATTAAATTCAAAAATTTAATCCTCTATATATATCCGCCATCTTTGAAATATTTTAGCCGATGTATAATGCTAACGATGTTCTTTTAAATTATATCTTAGAACAAGCCAGAAGCATTTGTAATAGACTTGCATCAGAAAAATTGAGATAATTCTTTGTCGAAAAACATACCATTTCACGTATATCTAGCGGATTAAGTCTTTTTATAAGTATTATTAGGAAAATTTTCATCCTAAGCGCTTTCTTACTATCTATTTACAGTATCGTACTTGTTGACAAGCTGTCATTGGTTCACATATTCACTATTTATAGTATTGTATAAAATAAAATTTTTAATAACAAAATTTATTATTGTAATTCGAGTCAAATTTTACCTCAAATTTCGGATGATTACTTATTTTGAATACATTACGTTATTTACATAAATACAGTATATGTATAATCAATAAAAAAAAAAAAAAACTTTTGATTTATTTAAAAATAAAAATAACATTATTATTTTATAAATTATGTTTTTAAAACGTTCTCTAATAAAGAATTAAATGAATGACAATTTCTTTTTTATAACAAATAATTTTGTTTCTATGTCAACGATCACGTGACTAATTTTCATAATAGGAAGTTCTACTTTCAACAACACATTTTCTTATTCGTAAAATCTGAAGGATTATCAAAATCTTCATTGGGTTCAATCTCACTTTCATCGAGATAATCATCCAATAAATACTCATCATTGCTGATTCCTTGATCTTCCTCGTCATGATTTGGTAGAAGCCATAAATCAGTCATGATTTCTTTAATTACGTTATAATTTTCATCCTTTAATCCAACATTACTTGCTTCAAATAAATGTCTTAACCCTTGAGATCGAAGTTCCCGTCGTTTATATGAATCTGTTTCATTTTTTGAAGCTTTTATTAATAATGAGCCATAATTTAATTTTGCGTACATGTTAATATATACGACGCAATTTTCAATTGGAAATTTCCATTCAGCAGCTGCTTTCATATATCTTATAATATCATTTATAACATCATCATTTTGTAAATGTAACAAATATGAGACATTTTCTCCTGCTGAATAATGTCGCCTTATTCTATCATCAGATGTAATCGCAAGTATATTAAACGCGTTATGATATCCTTGTTCTGCTGATCTAAGAAAATAATCAATCGCGATTTGCTTTGCCTCGTTCTCATCAAGAAAATCATTTTCATCCATGGTTGGACTTTCTTTTATTGATCCATTATCATTTACGCCAGTATATTTTGAAAAATCAATATCCATCATATGATCATTCATGGGTTTATGAATCAGACGATTATCGTGTTTAATTTCATGAACGCCATAGTCGCCGCAGTAAAAATACATTCCCAATTGATATTGAGCATGAGGATTATTATAATTATCCGCCAAATCTTGATAAATTTCTTTGGCTTGATTAAATTTCAATGATTCATGAAGAATTTTAGCCTCATTTAATTTATTTCTTACTTTCTCTGAAGAACTCGTTTCTGCATTTACCGATTTATATCTATGAAATTCAAATCATGTGATCAGTCATAATTCGCGTTTTTAAAGAAAGAATTCAAATACTTACGTGTATTGTATACCGTAATAATCGTGAATTGTTTCAACCTTTGGAATAACCTTTGGAATGTGCATGAAATCATTTTCCAGCATGTTTTCTTCTGATTGTCGTAGATGATCTGATTGAATAGTTGCATCGATTTTGGCATTACAGTCGGTATTTTCATCGACATTTTTCTTCGTTACTTGTTGCGGATTCGTCATCTTTTCATAAATATTCTAAATAAAACAAAAATTGTAAATGTAAATTTATAAGTAAGAAATGATTTTCACAACATTTAGATAATTACCTTAAGTATTTCGAAAAACTTGTACATTTTTGATAAGGTTTAAAAATTTTACGCGTAAAAAGTTGTTTTTTTTTGACGGGTCAAAGCGAAAAAAAAGCTTGTTTATATCATGAAGTATGTATTATGGTTGAATAATAATACATGAGCCTGGTTGTTAATGTCTCTTTTGTGATGTATTGATGTATTGATTGATACATTACAATATTACAATTCAAATTTTTTTTGACTTCTATCACGTGATGCATCATAACAATTGAAAATGGTCAAAAGTATTTTTCTTTTTTCATTTAAAAAAAGTGTTCTATGATTTTTTTATATTTTATTATGACGACGTCATGTGGAAAAAAATAATATATATCTAAATAAAATACAAGTAATAGTTCTTCTTCCCACCAGATTTCGTCGATCTAACCAAAAGGTCAAACGCGCGCCACAAAAGCCCTCTAAAAAGGACATATTTGAAAATTACGTACGTAAAAAGATTTTTTTTTTCTCTATTCTTTTTTTTTTCCTTCCTTTTTTTTACTTTTTTCTTTTTTGAATTGTTTGTTATTAAGTATTAAATAAAATAAAAATAAGAATATAAAACGATACTCAACTATATAAATTATTAATAAAAATAAGGACCATGACGGTTAATATTATGTTTTTTTATAAATACTTTTGCATCTACGGTAACGGCATCACCCAACTCGAATTCTCTTAATTTAGGATGTGATGATAACCTCTTTAGATGATTTGCTGATAGAGATTGACTCTGTTTTAATTTAATTGATAATTCTTCGAGATTTTTGTACTTCAAGACAGCCTTGATAAATGACTAAAATGATAATAATAATAAATAAATAATTGTTAAATAAAAAATAAAATAAAATAAAATAAAATTTTTTACTTCTCAAAAAAAAAAAATCTTTTTGGTACTTACGTTTCTATTTAATTTGGAAAAACTGCATTTCAACACTAAAATTCTTAACTTTTGACAATTATCTGCCAAATTTTCCAACAATTCAATTTCCGAATTTTGATTAGATTTTAATTCCAAATTTGATTTAAGTACGCAAGAATGTTTGAACACGCAAGAATGTCCTATTGGAAAGATTTTTAAAATCTCAAGATTTTTATAACAACCTCCTTTCCCTCTAAAATATCTTTTCTTTGATAATTCAAACAAGATTTTTGTAGCGGTACTCTTTGGGAAATGACCAGAGAACTCTTTTAATTTTTTACAATTTTGTAAAAGGTGAATAAATGCCAAGGAAGTTATTCGGCTTTGATTAATATTATTCTGTTGTTGAACACCACCAACATTACCACCACCAACATCATACCCTCCCGGATTATTTACGACATTAAATATAAAGGACGTTAAATTTGGACAATTCTTAACTATTAATAAGATTCCATTGTTCGATAAATTTGGCATATTTGTAAGTTGAATCTTTTTAAGTTGACGATTCTTTTGGGTAAGGGAGGAGATGGTTTCATCCGTCAAATTTTGACAAAAACTTAAATTGATGGATTCTAATTGATTACAAAATTCTGACAATAATATCAAATCAGAATCGATCAAATTGGAACAATTGAACAAATCCAAATTTTTAAGTTTTGTTTGAGTCGTAGCAAAGGTATTAATAAACGTCGAACTTGTGTCCAAGTCTAAAACGGCGGAAAGACTTTCCAAAGGAGGAAATTCTTTTGCAAATTCCGTTGTCATCTCCTTTGAGATCGATTGTGGAAAGGTAAATGAAAAGGATTTTAAATTTGGAAATCCATGTAATAGAGTTTTAAGAGCTTCGGGTTCTATGGTTTTTATACTTAACGACGTTAAATGTGAAAAAAATTTTATTATCATTAATGAATTGGTATTTGATACTTTTGTTCTAATCTCTAACGAGTCTACTGATTTACATTTTCTTCCAATGGAATACAAAAAATTAAAATTTAATTCCTTCGTCGTCGGTATAATTGTTTGTTGACGGGTGATTTGTTGTGATGATGGTGATGGTTCACAAAATAAAATTTCTCGTAACTTTGAACAATGTCCATTAATTATTGGCATTAAGGCCGTACTCATCCATTTGTCATCAAAATGTAAGGTTAAGAATTTTATCGATGTTATATTTGGATTCTTTTTTATTAACAATAAAACCGATTCGGGCGCAATTATGGTTCCCTCGTCATGTCCAAATGTAAGATGCGTTATATTGAAACATTTTTGTGTAAGTAAATGCAAGTCCGAGAATGAGAAAGAGGGTTGAGGTCGACTTTTATACGGTGCAAACGAGAGGTGCCTTATCATTTGACTATAATTATATAATGTCTTTTCTTTCTTCAATGTGTTTAAGAATGATTTGTATGACTGTGGTGTCTTCCATATCGGCGACTCCCACAAGATTCTTATGAATATCTAAAAAAAAAAAAAAAATGAAACTTCATTCTTTACTTTATTATTAGAGAAGAAGAGGAAGAAGAAGAAGAAGAGGAAGAAGAAGAAGAAGAGGAAGAAAAGAATTGTTTTTTTTTTCACAAAGCTTTATTTTCCTTGTTTTTTTTTTCTTTGTTTTTTTTTTTTTTAAAAAAAAACCAGTCTTTCGAACTTACTTTAGTCCACGTCGAATGGATAAATAAACAATTGTACAAGTCATATTGGTCTCTATCATCGGCAGTAAATTTTAAGATTAAGGGAAGGATGTCAACATTTAATATAACGGAATGTTGTGAATTTTTTTCACACATTTTTTTTTTTTTTTTTTTTTTTTCACTTCACACAAGGGATAGGATAATAGGAAGATCGTTTTTTTTTATTTAGACCATTTTATTTATAATGTTTCATCAGATGATCACTTTCACTTTTTTTTTTTTTTTTATTTCTTCTCGGATGATACCTTCCGAACTAAAAGTACTATTCTAAAAGTAAAGTCTTACAATGAAAAAGTCGTTTGATTTACCGATTCACAACATTGACAACCATTGATTGTATTTACGCTGTGAAACGTCGTTATTTAACCGCCACAATATCATGCCGTCACGTGTCACAAGTTTTTTTCTGTTTCCAAACGCACTAATTGAAAATTCCTGAAACATAATTTAACTCGTACGGCAATCAATCAACCCACTTGGGTACAATAAACCGCTTTTTTTAATTATTTGTAAAGGCATGTAAGTAAAATAAGACATCAAAAAAATGTGAAACTAGTGTGATCGCCTTTTAATCTTAACCATAAGTGGGATTCACACTTAAAGGGGTAACCTTGTCCATCAATTCGATATCATATTGAAGAATGTTAAAAACCGTCAAAATCCTTATATCGATCATGGCCAACTTCCTTCCCCGCCCCCACCAAAAATGATCAAGGTAATCTTCATCGGGATTCAAGTGGCGTTCGGGGAATAAACTTTCGGGGTCCTTTCAATGCCTTTGGTCATTATGACATTCCACACGAACTCTTCCGGTTCCGCATTATTACGATCGACTAGAGGAGCCAATGAACTCAACCATGCCACTTCCTTGACCACGGCATCGATGTACGGAAACCTTTCGGAGAATTTTACACAATCTTCAATTGTAATTGGAAGGGGATTTTTTCCGAGAACACTTTGAACTTCATCGCCACCAACAAAGATAATACACGATAAAGGTAAAATAAAATACGGTCGAATTGATGCAGCCTCAACCATAGTTATATTTTTAGGTTCTGAATTATATTTTAACATTATATCATTTTTTAGCTTGTCATCGTTAAATTAATCCTTCCTTGTGTCCTACGATAATATTGGAAAACAACTGAAAAAATCACCTAACTTTTTCTTAAATCTTGATGAACCCGGCGGGAAAATTTCTTATGAAAGCATTGGTGAATGCATATAAATAAATAACCATCTTTAAATGATTTTAAAGCATTCAAGTAAATCCAAAGATTTCTTAATGTGGGCTTCGAAACGTCGGCCTCAATTCCAATGGGCTCGGTCAAATCAATTCATTAATATTTTTCGGTTGTAAATCAAGTCATCCATTCCCACAGATCATTTACCTGATTTTCATCCAATAGGAACCCAATTCATGATAAAATTTTATGAGTTGTGCTAACGGCCAATTGGGGTCAAAGGGCCTGAGAGAAAAAATGGCGATTGAAATGCCAAACTTCAAAATCATGATTCCAAGCGACCATATCCCGCTATAATATACTCCTCTAATCCCGGATTATATTTCCTCTCAACTTGAAACTCGATTTCGTAGAAGGCGACAATAAAGTATCTATCAACTTAATTTCGTCACTCTAACAATCCTTTCGCTCCTCAGGTGAATTTCAAATATTTCACCATACTTTTTGTAAAAATCGTTCAAGAATTTGACGTAACCGAATAAATATAGATTCCCAAGAATCGGTAACGGGAAGGGTCCCGGCAACGGATTTGGTCTCGTGAGGTATCGATAGTAATATCGCGCCACATACGCCGATATGAATGTCGTAATCGTTACCATCTCTCTAAGTCCAATATACGTTAGGAACGCCATGATGCATCACACACATATAAATAATTATGTATGTTATTTTTTGGGAAGGAAAAATAAATAAATAAATAAGTAAATATTATTTTTATTTTTATTTTTTTTTATTTTTTTTCTCACACTCTTTTATAGATGGGTCATTTTACAAGAGAACAATCTCACTTTTATATGCACTATTTAAAATTTCCAATTCGCCACAAGTTTAACGGTGACACGACCTAATCGAAAGTCTAACTCGAAAAAAAAAAATTTTTTTTTTTGCTTTGCTATTGTTCGTTTTATTGTAATCTTGCTTGATAAAACCTAATATCCATTTCAGGTAAAAAAAATCAACATTCAATCTCAAATTTTATTTCTGTTCCAGTAAAGACAATAACATACCAGATTGCTTTGTATTCAGGTAAATACACAAGATTTTTAGGAACAATGAAGTTCTTCCGGATTACAATGTTTGGAGGTGGTTCGTGCAAAATCAAATTATTTACCCAACCATAACCCAATGTCGGATAACCTCGGATAATCATTTAATTTAATTTAGATAAATTAACACTAAATAGATGCAGATATTATTTTAGAAAGTTCTCATTGAACCAATATTTACAATGAATTTTATTTGTCAATCCTTTCACATGGCCGCACAATTACTTAAAAAGGATTGGACTGTGTGCATAAGCCAGTCATAATGACAGTCTCGCAATATCATGTGATATGCATCAACAAAAAAAAACTGAAAAAATCAAATGTATGTAGAAATTTCCTTGTTAACTCAAAGGCTGGCGTTCCCCAAGCACGTCAATTTAAAATCGAGTATTTCCAAGATTATATTTGTTAATCGTTAAACTCTAAAGTTTCATTAAAGTACTCGCATGACAAGATGCACAAACATTCAGCAATCTGGTCAAGGGTTAAAACTTTAAAGAAAATAAGCTTTATCACCATTAGCAAAAGTTAGGTGAGATTTAAATCGCGATATCAAGGTTTCGATCAGAGTTAAAATCTTAAAAAAAAATCGTTCATCATGTGATTCTCTAAAGACGTAAAATTTTATGATCTGGCCAATCAGATTAAATTTATCTCGTGACCAAGACGAAAAAATTTTTTCTACTTTAATTCCAATTCGTAAGATTATGAATATCAGAAATTTTATTTTGATTTAAGCTACCAAACTTTTGCTTATCTTTTGTAACTAAATGTAACTATAAAAGTAACTGTAAAAAGTAATGAACAACGTGATTTGAAGACAACAATTCACACTAATTCATCACGAGAATCGAATCATTGTCAAAACAGTTGATAACACAATTCTCAATGTATATAGTAATGTTAGAACAGAAAATATAACAAACACATATTTTATAACGAAAGAAAATTCAACGAAATGTCCATTAACTATATATGTACTGTATGTATGTATGTTTTGCATAATCGCAAGAAAAATACTAACATTAGCGATATTGTAACCTTGAAAATTATTACCACCATTAATTTGGCTATTGCTTTGTTGAGAAGTGAAGGATTGATTAAATGGAAGGGTGTTTGAATCATTAAAGATTCCTGTATTATGGATTGTCATATTGTATGTACAATAATCTTGAATAAAATTATAAGTTAGATTGATATTCTGTTTTTGCGTTAAAAAATGAAATAAATCTTTTTAGGTAAATTCAAGATTCTCCTGATGAATCTTGGAAAGTTCCTGCGGTTGATGTTCATATTGATTCCATAGACGATCTTGTTTAAAAATGTATTTCGCAAGTTAATTAATAGATTTTCTTAACATCAATTTGCTTATGATAAAGTACAAAAACATTATTAGGTAGAACATGCCGATGAGAAAGGTTGTCATTATCGTCAAGTAATTGAGATACAAATTCAAATGATAATGACTTTTCATTACACTAGATGTGATATATTTGAAATTCGTTGCATGGTTTATAAAAGAACGAATATTCATTCGTGGTGGCAACCGATTATACATCTTGATTAGGTTGCAAAAGGTAATTGGAATTCATTGCATTAATGTTAAGATGAGAACTACAAAGTTGTTGCGATTGTTGACTTTCGCTATTATCGAATTGCGTATTAACGGAAGCCGAAGTTGAAACATCTGACATATCAATGAGGGTAATTGTTAAGTCTTGTAGAGTATTTAAAAGTATTTACATCAGTGGAAACGTTAGAAGTGGATTCTGATTCATGAATTTGTTGTATCGTTGAATCCATAGTTTTAAAGAAATTATTATTCACTTAATAAGATTGTAATTATGATAATAATATTAAAAAATAAGTTTTAAATTTCAGAGTTCACTATATTTTTAATGAAATATTGTTAATGAAAACGTAAAAAGGTTCTATTTATTTCCTGTGCGTTGTTTTATTCGTCATAAATATATCTTGGCATTATTTATTTTCAAAGTTTTACCGAATTAGTTACATAAATATATTGATTGAATTCTAATTCAAGGAATTTATTGAAAAAATGATTGCACTTGTGTTTATATACATTACATGACATGATTATGTTTATTAACGTGCTTGAGTGCAATTATTAATTTTTTAACATTTGATCCAAAAATTTCCATTACCTAATTTATCAAATACTGCAATCATCAGTCTATTTGACGATAAATTGCTATTTAAAATATAATGAACATTAAAAACAAATAAATTGCAAATGTAACACACAAACTAAAGAAAACTGCCACGATAAGAATGATGAATTCAATCTATCTTGTACATTTTATATTTTATCTTTGATTTGAATTCTTTTATATGTAAAAATGACCAAATTTGCTTTGAAATTGAGTATAATTCTTATTGGTTTCTTTCTTTCATTTGAAACATCATAACGACTGTTATAACCATGATGTGCTATGTTTGTAACGATGCAAATTACAAAAAATAAAATAAGAATAAGTAATTTAATTTATAAGACATATGAATGGTACATTTGTTTTTCACATGATTTTCTCTTACGAGAAATTTTTTTTTGACCTTTTCCCACGTGACGCCGACATAACCTGTTCCGCAACTGTATTTATCACGTGATAATTATTAAAAAAAATATATTTATATGGGGTACACGATAAAAGCCTATACCCTAGGTACATTTTAAGGATGCCGTTGTATTAACCCAAAGAATATCGCAAACTTACGTTTGATCATAATTTCAGCTAATTTAATGGCCGCCATGATCTCCAAATCTTAAATAAAACATATAGAACTTTCATCTTTGAATGATATTATTGAACTTAGAGCATAATATGTAGAAATTAATGTTAGAAATACATCAATTGAAAAGTAAAAAAGTTGAAATCACGTAATAAAGGCCAAGGAATTATGAGATAGATATTTTAAATAAATTTTTTTTTTTGTTTAAAAGTTAAGGAAAGTACACTGATTCGTTGATTTAAAAAAAAAATTGGACAATTTAATTATATATTTATTTTCAAAAATAAAATTAATGCACATTAGATTCCTCGTGAAAGAGAACGTGTGAATGAACAATGATGCGTTGCATATAATAAATCAAATAAGATTATATGCTAGCTTCTTGTAACATTTATCTATTGTTGGTTCACGGATTGAAATTTTAAATTATCATACATATATTATAGAGTCATGTCCTTAAAATTATGGAGCCAATAAATTTTATTGTGTCTCATAATTATGAAGTTCCAATCATTTTTTTGTACGACACGACAATTAATTTACATCTAGTGGATCAAATTTTTTTATTGGATTCAAGATTAACGCGGATTTAATAAACCTTTTTTTTTAAAAAAAAGTTTGAAAGTCTCGAAGGGCATTTCTATTATAAAAGTTATTTGAGTTAAATAACTATAATTTTTTTTTAACAAATTATTGATATCGCAGGTTCTAATTTTCCTTCTTTTTCCTTATTTTTCTTAAGAAATGAGAGCAATTAAGTTGTAAAGTTAAAATTAAAGTTATTCAAAAATCTAAAATGGAACAAACAGAATGCTGGCGTTTGATTATTTATCATACATATTATCTTTAACATTGGGAAATTGTGCTTTAATAGAATAACTGCGCCTCAATTAAGCTTCTTATGAAATCATTGCCTATTCGACCCAGAGAAATCAGTATCAATAGACAGTTCCTTTAAGGTTCATACCTATTCTAAACCTTTTCGCGAGTTACTAGAAAGAATTTAATTAAATCTTTAATTACAATGTGTTAATTCACGAAAAATCTATTAAGCCTCATTTAGAACATCAGAATAGGTTATAAATTATAATTATCCCTCTACTTTCCTCTGATTTTGAAATCTCCGGAGGTGATACCCGATACCTTACAAAATTCTAATCTTCTTATTTTGATTATAACATCGTTTGTCTTTTTTAAAAGGAAAATAATTATGAGCTATTCAACCATTATTGAGGTTTTTGGAGTTTTCGTATTGTAAACATAACCTCGCTAGCACTCGGGATTGACCTTTTTATGACGAAGCATCGCATAAATTAAGTACAAAACTCAATAAAGCTAAACCTAATTTCAAAACCCAGATTGTATTCGTTTTTAGATCTTAAGAATACAAAATAATCGTTTGTCGTAAATTCAAAATCATTAATGTTTGCATGGAAACCCATTACAAGTACAAAAATACATTTACAAAAAGTACTGCTTTGCAAGTGCGTTCAGAAATTCAGCAACATGATAAAAATTTTGGAAGCTATAAAGTGATTAAAAAAAAAAAAAAAAAAAGATTTTTTAAAATCAAAGTACTATTGAAGAACTGTATAATTTTTTTTTCTAAATACAGTCAGCCCTCAATATAATCACCTAAATTGGTTCACACAAAATCGGAGATTAAATATTTTTTTTTTTTTAACGATGTGGTACTTACTGTTATAAGTTTATTAATATTTTTTAAAAATATTGCAGATAAAAGATATATAAAAAAATAAAAAATAAATGTAAAAGAAAAAAGACAAACTATCCCCCGTAGTTCTTTTTCTAACCTGTTTGGATCGACCAATCACCAGAAAATCCCTCAAACAAAACCAAAAGATCCATATCTAATGATAGAGTTTTCATACAGAAATCGAATTTTCAAAGTAAGATGCAAAACTTCCATTTATTTTCGGCATATGATCGCTATCCAATGATAAATCAACAGTTGTATCTTTATGCTTTATTCAAAATAGAAATATTTTATTAAAAAATAGCATTAGTGGTAGCATAGAGGTGATCAGCTCAGGTTAGTTTTGCCGATTCAGTTCGTAAGAACATAATCGAACTGATTAAGCCAATCACAACTAGTACCTAAAAGAAGCAAGAAAATAAATAAATTTAAATATTACATTATTGCTATCAATACTATCATCATCTCCCAATTCGTAATCTTTTTCTATTTCATCCTCATCCATATTGTCACCATAATTATCATTATCATAATAAATGTTTTCTTCGCCATTTTCATCATCATAATCGTTGTCATCATAATCATCTCCATTGTTGTCATAATCATCTTCACTGTTGTTGTTATAATCATTATCACCATTGTTGTTATCATTATCTTCTCCATTGTTGTTATCATTATTACTTTCAATTTCCATTTCATCTTGCAATTTGGTTTTATCACCTTCTTTATTATTTATATTTGATGCTTTATAAGCATAGAAGAAATAATTTCAAAGTTTTAGACTATCGAGTCTTTTTGTATACCTAATATATTACATATATTACTTACACGAATCAAACTGTTTATGCCTTTAAAGTATATTACATCCAGAAAAGTTTGTACTTTCGCGTAAAGAGAATGGTTTAGTTAATGAAAGATGACTTTTACGCATTTTTCAAGTATACAAAGGATTTTATTATATTATTATAAACATAAAAAGTTTATAAAGTTCATTATATACAAGTTTAAATACAAAGTTAGGGGAAAAAAGTTTATTTATTGTTATACAAATCATTATATTTTATTTATTATAAAAGGTTTCAAATTGTACAAAGTTTAAATAGAAAATTTAAGAATAAAAATATATCAAAATTTCGCTATATAGACTTTATATAGAAGTTTCGTTATATTAATTAATCAGTGTTACGTATTATATAACATGTTAAAGTCTTATTTTGCATTATTAACAATAAGAGAACTGTGAAACCTTATTTAGTTTCAATATTAGCAATAAGAGTATAACTATATTCGGCATTATTAAACAATAAAAGCATAAAGAAGTGTATTACATATTAAAGATGTGAAAAATCAGAAAAACATTTTAGTTATAAATATATATAAATAGCTTTTTTAGACAAAATATTCTATTATTAATAAATCATTTTGAAATCTATATATTGACATATATAGAAATTATATACTGTTATAAAAGTATATTTAAACTATATTATTGTATATAAATAAAAGATTATTACCATTTATAATAAAAGTTTAAACCAAACAATATAAAAGGACTACCTTTCCTATTTCACTTTGAAATTTCACGTTTATTTTATTATTACAAACCATTTTCATATTTTTATTAAAGTATTTATTTAAAATGCCAAGAACGTGAAAAGTTTGAAAACCCACTGAAACTAAAATGCCAAATGAAACACAAGCACCAAGTAAGTGTTATAAATAAAATTTTAATCAATATATTGCAATTTTTTACTCACTTTTATTATAATTAGAAGGTCATAGAAAAAGTAGTAGTGAGTGTAACATTAGTTATAACAAAGCAAATCAGCCAGTTAAATCTGCTATAAGTAATATGATTAAAGCTAAAGCAGGTAATGTTTTTAGATTTTTATGAATTTTTATCAATTAGTCTTTAAATTTATGATATTTTTCTGATTAGCATTCAGCATTTATTTTAACTAGATAGTCGGGGTAAGAAAAAAAACCAGTTAAACCAGATATTTTGATTCAAGAACAAAAAGTTGCAACTGATAATAAATTAAATATTAACATTAATTTTTATTTATTATATATTTTTTAAGATTTAACATCGATTTTATAATAGGTTATAGCGATATATTAAGTCTTAGTATTATTACTATTCCTAATGAATGAATCAAATGAGTCAACTCAAGTTTGAGTCGAGTCAAGTCAAAAATTTTCTGATTTATTTCAACACGTTGTTAGTGATAGTCTAGTTATGACGCATTAGTACTGCGCCAATTACAATTAGCGAATGATGATCCCGTCGAT